AGGAGGAGGAGGAGGAGGAGGAGGAGGAGGGCTGACTGGAGGGAGTGTGTGTGAAAGAGAGACAGACTGCATGCAGCTCACCGTCATTCATCTCTTAGAAGGAAGAGAGGAAATCTGCAGAAAGGCAAGGAGAGTTTAATAAAAACTAAGGACGTTTTTTTAACCATCAATTCTAACCTGTGTCTCCTCCTGTTCAGACTTTAAAAGGTGCAATTTTCTTTGCAATCCATTTTTTATAGTGTGCTGTGTTACTGTGCTGCTGCAGGTTCAGCTACTGTGTGGAGATACTTCTGATTCTTTCCAAGAATTATTTTCCTACAAACTACAGACAAACTAAAGTAAAGCCATAGCTGTGCCTGCTGTTTTTTTTATTTCTTTTTTTGAACAAATTCCAGCATCAGGAGCTTCCATTCCAAAGTGAATCTCTGCCAAGCAGGGACAGAGTGAGGGCGTGCTCTCTTTTATGCGGTTTGCACAAAAGCTTGGCTTCTTTTCTGGAGGTGAAGAACGGGGTGACCTAAAGAGGAAGCACCAAGGATCAGAGTGCTCCAAGAAAAGCTCAGTCAAAGAGGGGGAGAAGGAGGAGGAGGAGGAGGGTGCTTCCAACTGGGGAAGAGCATCCTCTCAGCCAAGAATCACATACCAATAAGACTAAAACAACAGGTTTGTCTTTTATGAGAAAGCCCAGCTGCGACATTAAAACTCCCCCCAGTGTAGAGATCCTGCGAGCTCACATCCAGGAAGAACCAGCTCAGCCTGCAGAATGGATCTCCCTCCAGTCAGAGGTAAGCATCCATTCATCCTGTCTCATCATCATCTATCCATGATATGTCTGACCTTGGACGATAAAACTGTTTCAGCATTAAAAAAAAAAAGAAATTTAGAGTTATTCAAAGTTTTAATGTTGTAATCAGTTTGTTTCTGAAGACCTGCTTTTAATGTAAAGTTCTTTATATTCTAACATGTCATCCAGTTTTTAGTATTTAGTTATTTAACAGTATCTAAGGAATATGTGCTTTGATCTAAGATTCATTTGTTCACCAAAATGCATGAAACACATTAGAGTGCTGTTTGTTTAGTGATGAACAAGTAGCTGCATCTCTACTGTAAATTCTTAGCTTATCTGGGCCTAAATGAACCTTTTTGGATAAAAGCACATAATGTTTGTTTTACATGTTTCTCATAGCCTTCGTTTGACGTGCAAATGTTTTATGATTCATGAAAAAGAAAAGCAAATTGGAAAAATATGACAAGGTTAAACGAGCCTAACTAGAAGAATTTAAGACGTTTCAGCAATTAAGAAATTAAAAAATATTTGAACTACATTTTGAATATCTTATATGAATGAAAAAAAACATACAAATAGTGGAAATTATTTTTTAGATTTTTAGAAAAATCAAAAGCGGCACTTATTTTAAAAAAGAAATAACATAGACATGAAAATAAAAAATTATTGATTAAACATTTAGTGTAGAATAGCTTTCTGCATTTTATGCTGGAGAGAAAAATATTAAGACAAAATTAACATAAACAAAAAACGACACAATAACAATAAAACTAAAGCTCATTATTAAGTTTTTTTTTCTTACATATTTAGGAGGGTTTATGAGTCTAAATGTATGTAAAATGAAAAAGTAAAAGTGCAAAATAAGACTGTTTTACATGCAAGTCTGGCTGAACTGGTCTCTGCTTTAACGTTATTAACAGGGAAGCTTTATAATGAAGCATTTTCTTAGTTATTGTTTAAATATTTCATCTCATGTTCTTTTTATTGCATTTTTAAAAACCAAAAATAGAAATTTTTTTTCTTTGATCTAGTAATTATTTGCTACATCCTGCAGAATCAATGGCCTGGTGTATCTATTGTGTAACTTTCTGAGACCTCATAAAATGCGATGTTGTTAAAATGGTGTGTTTGAGCTGCAACTTTGCAAAGAAGTTCGAGTTACTTTATTCCAGCTTATCCGCCCCTAAAACCAATACTTAGCTTTAGAGCAGTTAACATGTAACTGCATTGGGGACATGCGAGGCCGGGATTGATTGTCCTCAAGGTCGGATGTGGAACGTCAATATCCATCTACACTGGGCTGGGCGTGGAGGGGCGGGTGGATGAGAGAATTATGGGATGGACTGATGCAAAGAAGGGCAAGAAAGATAATGAACCGGATGCAGGGAGGGAGAGGCGGTGGGCGTCGGGAAGAAGCATTAACTAACGCTGGACAAATGGATAGATGTTTGGAGGGGAAGCCGTCTGCAAAGAAAGGAGGATAAAAGAAAAGGAGGAAAATTTTATTCTGAAATAGGTAATTTGCTCAAGAGTTAAACAGAATGATGGCAAAACCTCATTTAGCAAATGAGTAACTTTTATGGGAGACGCTAATAAATCAAATAAAAAAAAAATTTAAACTCTCTTCTTGTTCAACAGAAAGCTAGTTGGAGGAAACAAACAGACAAAAAAAGCTATTTGACCTCTCATATGCAGAGAAAGCTCATTTTTAACTGATGATTCAGAAATAAAATCATAAAATCAGAAGTTAAAAGTTTGTTGGTTCGTCATAAAAAAGAGCATTGAAGCATGACTGGAGATTTAACCCTTTAAAGCCCGATCCAAGAATAAAACAAAACAGAAAATTACTTTTTTTT